CGGCGGGTCAACGATCGAGAGATACGAACGAAATGTAAATGGATGTGGTATGAATGAAGTAGAGGTTGCCTCGAATTGCCTCATTTTTCACGTAGGTACAAAAATTGCCGGGCTACTTAAAAGGGAGAGGTGGCGCGGAACAAAGTCCTTTCAGGGTTTATCTTGCCCTTAAATGGCCGGGGCTCCGCGCGGCTTCCACCAGTTCCAAAAGATAAATTGGCTGGAATTGTTACGCGCTTTTTAAAAGTTGTGCTCAACTGCGAGCACTTAGGTGCCATTTCGTGTTGTAACTACGATACGGAATGTTTCCTACTGTTGTCTAATTTTTGGATAACTTTTTTCTCTGGGTACAAGTTTTTCAGGTTACAATCCTTGATATCCTTATCCTAACAAAAATCTTAATTTATTTTAAAAGTTTTCTAATTCAGATTATTTCAGATATTTGTCGATTTATATTCCAAGAGTTTTACGAAGTTTTACCAAGTTTTACGAATGATTGAAAATTATTCAGATCTTTGGCACCTAAGAAACTAAATCTCTGTATCTTTTTTCGTAATTCTACATATATTTCGAATAAGATAAAGTGTATTTAATATTTCATTAACGAAAGTGACACAAAATATGCTCCAGAATATCTCACAGATTTTTCAGATAAATCTTAACTTTCGTATAATCAAAATATCAGAGATCATCGTACGACTTTCTCAAAAATTCCTTGCAATAGAATCCAAATGTTAATGCAAAACGAAATCTCCGAATAATAAATATATTTCGTTATCATACTGTAATTTGGCTTAGACAATCGATCGATATGAATAAATTCGACGTAAATTTTGGAAATTGGAAATTACGGAAAATTAGCAACGCGACTTTTCTCGCGAATTCGATGTGTATCTGGATGCAACAACGCATTATTTGCCTCGTCAAAATTGATGCACCTGTGGGAATCCGTATATATTTGCATGCACACACGAGGTTTCGACAAATCTCGTCTAATTCGAATACAAATATTTCCCGAGTCATCTGCCCGGTCTTTCATTTCGTTCAATCAACAATTTCGTTACTGGATCCGTTATTGCCGGCTGGAAATATTGAATTTCGATCGAATCGCCATGGTTTATTTAAACGTCATAGCCGCGATAATTCCTTCCTAGATCCGGAAATATCGGCGCGATAATTTCGATAAGTAACAATCGGCGCCAATTTATAATCGATCCATAAATGCGATAATATCGCATATATATATAGCGTAAACAATATTTTAATATCTAAATACGAATTATCTACGATACGAACACGAGTTGATGATTATTTATGAATCGATACGAATGACGTTTCAAGGAAGAAAGGACAATACAGGCCGGTTAATTACCTTTTGATGGAGATTATTGCATTGCGCAGAGCGTTTCAATGGACGGAAAAAACCAATTACTTGTAATGTGTATGCCGATAACTATTAATATTCATTCCTCGATCCCTGTAACCGTAACTGCGTATTTCACCAAGCGAAAACAAGTTGGTAGTTAATTTCTATTAGAGTAGAACAATTCTGCTTTTTCCATTTTAATATTAAACTTAAGTGATTGTAGTAGATTGCGCCTCGATCGATAAACAGATATTGAAAGGAACCTTCAAACTTTAGATTGGTTCGATCGATTTTGGGGGATCCAATAGATGTGCGCGATAGAGCCAGGTTTCCATAGAATTGGTTCTAATAAATTTATTGACAGTCGAATCTCTTGGATGATAATGCAATTTAATGAATGAAGATATAAACGAGATTATAATTTAAAGAAATATACATATATATATATATATATTGTTTCGTGAAAATTTTATTTTATTTAACTATATCTTTGATGATGTATGTTAATATACATAAATCTATTAAATCTATTCACGATTCGTATTAAAAGAGTTGATACTTCAAAGCATGGAGATTAATTTGTATCCTCTAAAACGTGTTAATTACGTGTTAGACAAGTTGGATGTGCCCTACAATAATTATAATAACGTATACTATAAGATGATTAAAAAATTCATAGAAATGTATTATCACATTGTAAGGTAAGTTTTCTATTCCTTGGAATTAAATTTTAATCCTTGAAATATTTCTAGCACTAGAGGATAGAGCCACTAATTTACAATCAGATTCAATCTTGAGCATCATAAAACCGTATTGCAGGATGACGTTCGTTTCCGTTAATTTAACCAGAATCGAAGGATATCCCATAGGTTGCCCTTCGAGGACCGGAAACCTCGATCCAACCGACATAATCTCGACAATTCGAGCGAACGAGGGGGGAAGGGGACACGTGCACGGACACCGATGCTCGCGTCATTCCTCGCGTGATTTATATGACACGTCCCCGTTATAATGCCGCTCGACCGTAATGCAATTTTAGGGGCTGGAAGCGCAGGAAGCGACGTGGAGAGCAACACACCACCACTCCTATCAGCGCGGATCGGTATCACTGTGCTGATAGGCAAATAGCGGCACAGTTCCGGGATAAAAAATAAGCTGGTGGTGGAGAAAAATGTACTCGTGCGAACGAGCTATTAATCATTTCGTGCGGAATATATTTATATTGCAAAAATATTTTGATAATTTTGATAATGTCGCTTGAACGCGATGTGGTCTTCGAATCATCGAACAATGAAGAGGATATCATCATAAGTGTAATATCTATTTTGAAAAAATATATATATTATACGTACAATTTACGATTGTTATAACATTTTTGGAAATTTAATTAATTTGCAACTTTTCAAAATGGAAAAGTATAAATATTTCACAAATGTATATTTATTGCGATAATACACGAGATAAATTGAATTAACCGTATCCATCTAATAAGATAAATCGAATGGAAATGTCGCAAGGGCTATAACGATCGGTGTTACCTGAATGGGGAACAAGCGTCGAAAGAGAAACGATGGAGGGAAATCTAATGGAATTAGGATTCCGATGAGCCGAGATAATGCGAAACAGGGGTTTGTTTCCTCAAGGGGGAATGGTGGAAGCTACGTGGAATTCCAGATTTCGGATCCCAGGCCAGAAATCAAAATGGTCCCACGGAGAGTATACCTAAATCTTACAACAATTCGCGCAACAATGAAATTCCATTATAGATCTCCATAATATTTCGATACTAATGTCAACCCTTTCGCCGCGATCTAATGGCCAATAGCAGGAGAACGAACGACCTCGATAGAGATCGTCCCTTAGCGTGAAATTGATCTCATTTCCGTGGAATTCCAAGCACGCGAGAGAGATGGAGGAAGGGGATGAATGGGGGAGCAAGAACCAAGGAATAAGAAAGATAATCGGTCGGCATTCCAGAAAGTTACAAGAATCGGAGTTTACTCGATTTAGCGGGTTGAATACCCCTCGCGTTTACCCCTTTAATCCCCCTTCTTCGACTTGTGCACCCTCCTTTGCCACGATCTACGTGTAAAATATGCATCGTCTTCGTCTTCTTGAATTTCTACAACGAATCGAATAAAACCCTTTCATGAATCTTTTCATTCGAATAGCGTGACGAGGATGGTGGAAGGATTGGTTGTCAACTTTGCTTGAAAAGGTTACCCTCGACATTTGAATGACGTGAGTGAGAGGTGATCGAAGGAAGCGAATCGCGATACGAAGTGGAATAGAAAATTAATGAGAATTAATGAGGGAAATAATAAAATAGAAGACGGATAGTGGTTAATTAATCCAAATTCGCTCGATAATTGTGCAATTGGTAATCATTAACGGTAATGGGTCCAAATAATTATCCACTGCATTTTCTCTGCATGATTCATCGAACAATATCCTTAGAGAAATTATGTGTAAATGTATTACGATAAGTTGAAAGCAAATTATCGACAGGTTTATCGAACCTTAAAATCGTCTAAAATCCTTTGAGTCATTTATCGGGCAGGAATATAATTATGGTGCATATTTCCTGAAACCAATTTAATTCTTTAGAGAATAGAATCGTTACTTTGGTTTCAACATGAACCAAATATATCTGCATAGATAATCCTGACGATCTATGGAAATCATGGAAATGAAACTATGCGAAGAGGATCGATAAGTGAAATTCTGATCGTGTTTTCATCGTGTAAAGAAAGAAAGAAAGAAAGAAATTTGTTTATCAAAATAAAAACAGAGTATCGAAACGAAGAACCTAATTCGTTTATTGGAAAACGAAACTTGAACGCACAATTGAACTATAATTTTAATTCTGGAAAAAAGGAAAGGCAATTTGCGGGAATTCGAGCTCGTGAAACGCGGTTAATTGCAAAATTATACAGCTCTCTGGATGTATAATCGGATATTATTGATGTTTAATCGTGAATTTGTTCGGTTTATTCGAACAACAAGGGACGAGGAGAAATACGATACCGGATCGAATGAATTATTTTTCGACAATTGAGCGCATATTGAGCATCGAAATGCTTCGAACCGTTGTTATACAGACACAAAAGGAATATTGATTAGAGTGATTTATAAAATTATTTGGATATTTGTCGTGAAAAATTTTGACGATACGTAATGTAATGTGTTACGTGGAAATTTTTCAGAATATTATTAGCACTGATAATTAGATAATTATACGAATAATTAATTATTACATCATTGCGTTGTATTATTATATTATAATTTAGTTAGTTATTGTCGTTATTGAGTATTAATACGATATATTATTATTATAATCCGATTAATTAATATCATATTATTAACGTCGCAATAATAAGCATTCATTTTTATTCTTTCACAGAATAAATATTTTTCAACGAATATTTTATGATCTTATGTATCCTCAAACTTTGCATTCACAGTGCTAATAACATTTTCAAGAATATTTGCTACAACGCAAATATCGTATTCGTGTAAGATTATTTATACTCGAGTACTTTTCAACGAATCACAATACATATGTCCAATTATTATGAATAACATTGTGCATTGTGTTCCTGTTGTGTTCACACCATCTGTTTTGTCTACTTACGTGTCTCGTGTCAGCCGCAAGTAGGGGCGTGTGTGCCTGCAACAATGAGTGCCCAGAAAATTAGACCGTGTAACCCCGAATGGAATTGTTGTTTGCTTTCTAGGGAGTTTCATGCTTGAGCAAAGACTCCGCTCATTCGTCGCCGAGGATACGAATCCCCCCGGCTAAAGCATGCTATCATGCGAAAACACGCGTCGGGAAGGGGTCATGCAAGAGGAGTAGTAAGAGTAAATTTGCCTTGTAATTTAACAGCGGCCTTTCCAAAATACTTTCTCGTCGATGGAACGAAACATCATCTCTCAAATCTCTCAATTCCAAAATCTATGAAACGATCATTTTCCTTAACTTTTATTATTGGAATTCAGGGGTAAGTACATTTACTTAAGATCGGAATTTTAACGATTTTTAAATTGTATCGTTGTAATTCGACGCATTTATTATTGATTTAGGTTTAAGTACAATTTTAACATTAATAAATAATTATTAAAATCGAAAATTGGGTAAATGATTTTGGATACGAGATGTAAGGATCGAAAGCATGGACAGAAGATCTATCATTAAATTTAAAATTTAAGTTTCGAGGAAGAAGCAGAATCGAGTGACAAAAATTTTATTATTACTGAAAATCGAAAATCAAATAATAGCACATATTCTGGATACAGATGTAAGAAGAATTGAAAACAGAGAATGCAACGTTCCACGATATCCACGTTATCGTATCAAATTTTAATTTAACGAGGTTGGCCATTAGAAAGAAACAGGATGATAAATCGAGTAACAAAATTTTATTTGCCTCCCTGTGACGAAGAAGAAATTCCAATAATTCGAGAAGGGATGTTCGTTTGTAGTCTCTCGAGGATCGTGTGATCACGAAACGATTTTATTCCCGGTAAATTTTCCGGACGAGCGATCCGTCTATATCCGTGGTCTCGGCTTGAAATCTTGAAAGTGGAAAGAAAGAAAGAAAGAAAGGAAAAAAAAGAAACGTGGATTCCCCGTGGAATACCAATCCCTGTGAAATTATTTCTGTGTCGTGAATTTATCAGATGCCATTCGGTTTACATGCACAAGAAACGGAAAATTCCTCGAGGAAATTTAACATTTTAACTCGAAAAGTAAAAAAAAAAAGTTGTGTCCTCTTTTTGCCATGTTGTGTCGTTTCCATCAATTCTTAAAAAAAAAAAAAAAGAAAAATCGATCAGAAAAATCGGGCATTCTGTAATTTTTCGTTCCAATGCACCGTGTAATTCGAGCTGTTTATATTCTTTTCTCATCATTTTAATTTGGAATTGGTTTAATTTTAATGGAACTTTGTCGTGTGCATATGGAAGAATAGATATGCACATGTACTTTCGCTTATCGATTTATCCTTGAACAGCCACGATACAATATGTGCACGTATATTTTTCCACGTCATTTTTAATCGTACCATCTATCGCACGTGTACATCACCGGTTCATTCGGTCGAATGGGGAATAAATGCGAGTCTAAAAAATTCTGATTTTAATGAAAATTTTTGTCTATACATAGAATAACAACAAATTGCATTATACGGTGCAGCGCGTTCAACTTTTGAATTTACGTTCTCATTTTTTACAACGTAATAAAATAATATATTTAAAATTCTGTTCCATCCAGAAAGTTATATTTAATTTTATCCTCAAAGAAGTTATCATATTCGCAAATTATTCATTATATAAAATTATCATCGAATATAATAACACAAGTTGTCGAAGAGCGTTTCATAAAACGAACGAACACTTCGAAGAATTACGAATTCCAATTTCACTTCCCTTTCTTTCACTTCCTAAACCAATAGCCTCCATTAAAGTACTTTTTCTCTGATCGATGAGCCCGTCGCGAATATATCATTCTTCGTGTCGCAATGAGGGAACGATCCCCATCAACGTGAACGAGGAAGGATAAAACGGGAAGGTTATATAGGTCTCTCGTTAAAACCGCGGTTAGAAAAAGGGGAGGGAGAAAAAGAGGGAGAAGTTGCACACCTTCGTTCGACGAGATGATCGAAATGAATCATCCCCCTCCTCGCCGTTTCCATCGCATTCCTCTCCGCCTTTCTTATCTCGTCGTTTCGTCTTTCAATTCTAATCGAAATTTATTGAAACTTGGAATCGATTCCGCGCTCGTTCCACGGGGAAAACGCGGATGTCTACGAGTCCTTCGGGTGCCATTGCAGGGAGAATGCATTATGCGCTTGGCTGTATGCAGGGCATTCAATTTGAACCCTCCCCTTCCCCATTATTAAAACATTTACGTTACGATCTCGAATCCGACAATGGATGTTTATTTCGAGCGTGAAATGATACCTACACGCTCGCATTCGCGACAATGTTTCGATTGATTTCGAATTGATTAACGTCGTCGTGTTGACAATGGTAGAAAGAAACTCTTTAACTTTGAATTCTCTTTCCGAATATTGATTTTCGAATCGAGCGTTAATTAATTAATTAATGATTTCGTTCAATAATTGATTCATCATCAATGCTTCATTTTCAAGTCCGTTCGCAAACACTTTTTTGCAGGAAGTTTTGAAGGATGACGAAAACAATATCTGTGAATCGTAAGTCGAATCGATTGTAAACAAGCAATTGCGAGACTTTGTCGAGGTTTTGAATTCGATCGTGACGATAAATAAAAGTGGCATGAAATAACAATAGAAGGCGAAGACAGCACACGACGAGTAATTTCCTTCGTTGCCTTTCTTACTTTGTAACGTAAGTAAGAACGAATGGAAACGTCTTGCAGCGGATGGAAGAAAGATGGCCCAAGCTCTATTCACCCTTTAAGCTCCGTTTTTCCGTTCGTCGTGGACAGAAACGACGAGGAGAGAAAGAAAATTCCGATTCCCGGGGGAATAATTGAGTGAAAATAAAACCGGACGATCTTCCCTGGAAGTCGTGGTAATCTTTGGAAAGAAACGGGGAGGGGGAGAGGGGGAGTGAAAGTTCATTCAACAAGTACTCATCGATCGTGTGGAAGCCGATGATGATGCAATTGCTTTGGGGTGGAATATTTTTTTTTTTCTTTTTTTTTTTTTTGTTATTCATCATCAATCCAACCAGATTGGTAAACCGAGTTTTACCGCCACCCAAACACACTTTTCTCGATGTGTTTAAGCGTGGAATGGAATCGAGCGGACATCGAAAATCGATGGAACACGTTAAAAATTGATTTTCATTGGATTTCAGAGGAAGAGTTTTCTTTATGGGGGGATGGAACGATTTTAAGGGGCAATTTTAAGAGGAGAAATTGTGAAAGGGAGGGTGTATCTGAAGGGGAAACGTGCGCTAACGTTGAACAGACACCTCGTTGGAGAAGAAAGTCGATAACTAAAGAATTTTACGACGAAATCCCGTCGTTCTTGTTATTCATGGAGCTGCCACGGGAAATATGATTTGATGCACTCGAAACGCATATAAGAGACTACTAGGCACGTTTTTGCCTTATAAAAAAATATGCAAAATCGTGGATAAAACTGAATATGGAATTTCGTAGCATATCACACGAAAAAATACAAGTTATTTTCCTATATATATCTTCTTTATTTATTTATAAATTATAATTATATACGTAAAAGGAACGATGAAATTACGTTTCGTTAGATTGAAAAACGATTATTATTTTTTTTTTTAAATTCTTAACTTTTCTTTTTTTTTTTATAAAAATAATATATTTTTAACTTATGAGTAATTTATAGTTAATTACGAAGTGAATATATGGCAAGCGAATACATGACATACACGGAGTTTCTTCGTGATATTTGAAATTTAAAACCTTCACATTTTTGTACAAGTTTTTAATTAATTTTTTTTAATTACACGTTTGCGAGGAAAAATTTTGAATTTTAATTAGCGTTCGAAAATTGGAAGTTTTCCCCAGTTTTTCCACATCGCAACCATCGAATTTAAATTGCAAACAAAAATTACGGAGGATGGAGATCGGCTTTCAGGTTTGAAAATTTCCGTAAACCTCGTCATATTTTTTTCGCGTAGTTCTCGAAATCCGAATTTTCCGAAATTTCTACAATTTTTCAAATTATACGCGTTGCTTGGAATAATATTTGTGAAAAGGGAGAAGAACAGATTCCTCGGATCGAATCGAGATTTCTTTCCGTAAAAGACGATTGAAGAGGAGTATCGGAGTACAATCTTTATTTTCCAACATTATTTATCCTGTTTTTACAACGAGTTATTGGAGTACAGAGAGTGAAGCAAACAGGAAGTAACACGTTGGTACAACGTGTCTTGTAAACAATTCAGTTGACTGTCATTTTGTTTCCCTTCAGACGATTTACACGATGATTCCATTGACTGTTCGAATATTTCTGTTCACGTTATTCCTCGTATCTCACCGATGAAATTCAATCTTCCGATTTTCCCCGTGGGAAAAGCGCAACGTTCCAATAGTTCACAGATGTATATACAAAAATAAAATAGAATTACCGTGAGAAAAAAAAAAAAAGTATCATTTACTTGCATCAATCGAAGAAAAAAAAAAAAAAAAGAAAATTTAATCGAATTATTCTTTAAAATTTTACTAGTAACAATATTATCGGATTCTTTTTACTTTTCAGAAGACGAGAATAAGTTCTCCATCTGGTTTACTCTACCATGTTAATTCCATTTAATACGAAATAATCGAGTTACTCAAACAATTTGCCCTCCTTCTCGAAAGAAAATTAAGTTTGTCAGCAAGCAACTTACTCTTCTTCGATTCATCTCCATTAACTAACTGAATTACACGAAACGCTGTGTCATCGTTGCTTGTTAAAAAATCGTGGACAAAAAAAGAATTTCCCCTTCCATTCGAGGAAGCATCTGGCCACACTCTTTGAGAATGAGAAAAAAAAAAAAGAATGGAAGGAGGCGAGAAAAAATTTGAGGATCTAGGATGCAAAGAGGAGGTGCGTGCGTCCCCTGAATGGTAATTAATTACCAGAGAACTCTCTCTCTCTTTCTCTCTCTTTCTCTCCGGAGAGAAGCTCTCGATTCGCGATACGCGGTGGAATATGAAAT